CGTTCTTAAGAAAACGTTGACAAAAGATCATTCTTCTTCTGCGAAAAACTTTTAATGATCTTGTAATTGTAATTTAAAGAAGTAGAAATAATGATGACATAAGACACTCATTTAGACAATATTTTTCATGTACATTTCTAGTACTAAGTCGATCAGTACATTGAAGTGTCAAATTCTGGCTGGAAGCTATTTAAATTAATATAAATTAAAAAAATTATCAGAAAATTTATTACAAGAAATAATTTTACATATAAATGCTTAGTATTTCATCAGATTTAACAACAGTTTGTTTGGAGAGACTAATCATAGTTAGTGTTACATAACAATGTGTTAGTTTATTTAATTTACTTAAATAACTCTGCATCGTTCTATAAATAGAACACAATTTTATATTTCTAATACTATATCTCGTCACAAAACAACAAATATACCTAGTCAAAATCCAGGGCCTTTTTGGATGGAATGATAATCCTTTTACCCTGGCGGATTTTTGTTTCAAATTCGTCAACATATTTATGTACTTATATTACTTTCAATCGATAATTACATAGAACACTTTATTATTGTTTTTATAATTGTGAATATAAAAATTGAAGAATTTGACAACTCAGAAACGAAATACTTGTACACGTCCCCAAGCACAACATTGCACAGAGCGGCCAACAGTGTAGGGTAACTGTCAAAGCGTTGAAATGATAGGTTAGAATCGATACGCGCACACCGAGACGATCATGGATTATAAACTCTATGGATTCATTTCATTTGACCGATCCATTTGGTGTAGGCAGTGGCGTCGGGTGGGCTCTTTTTTTATACAGCCAGTGGACTTGTTTTTTTATGCAGTGGGTTCGTTTTTTTAGACACCCAGTGGGCTCGTTTTTTGAGTAAAGAAAAAAAAGGAAAATGGGCTCAAGCCTACCCAGCCCACACGGTTTCGACGCCACTGGGTTTAGGCATTGGTATTTGATAAGCATAAAAAATCCACTTTTTTTAAAAGTATTCGAATCATAGATAAAAGAAGAGTATGATTCGAATGTTTCTCCGTGAATTAAAGAAATGTTTGAATGAATCTTATAAGCATGTTTATTTGTCTATCATAAGTATAATCTTGGGAATGGTCATCTACTCAAAAGCCAAAATTTAACAAAAAAAAGTATCTACTATATTATATAGATCTTCAGTCCCTGTAAAATAGTATAATTTTAATTTTAATCTGTTTTTTACTATTATATTATACTATTTCGATCATAAACTTAAACTTGAACTAATATTAAAAGCAAGCAAAACCTTAAATTTAAAACAACTAGTGTAAATGAGGTCGTGCTTTAAGGCAAATTGCTGGTACTTCTCGTACCATAATTTTCAAACAGATTATTATAAATTCTGTAATTTTTAGCATTCATAATTTGTAGACAAAATGTGTAGGCTTATAAATTGGACGACGACGTTTAATAGGTTTACATGAAAAACCAAACAAACAAAACTTAATCTAGATATTTTTTAAATCATATTTTTAAGAATTAAATAAATTGCCCAGTAAGCACGTGATGTTGTAGCAATATTCTATATAAATCCCTGCTAACATCCCCGCTGTGACAATAATAAACCAATGTGGGTGTATATGTTCGTTTAAAATTGCAATTGTGACATACCGATCGGTCGTTTTTTATGCAGGCTATCAAAAGCTATATTGAGAGAGAACCGTTACATCAAATTATCTTATATTTTCGAAATTTTAATAATAAGTATACATTTTGTTAACATTTCTAAAGTTTATCCGTTATACTGCGGCGCGGCGCTTCGGTATTTTTTCTCTGAAATAGCCGAATAGCATGATTGCTTTGAAAAAAATTCAAAATTTTCAAAAAAATTTCGAGACAAAAAAAATCAAATTTTACAAAAAAGTCAAATTTTTTAAATGATTCTCAAAAATCTCATTTTTTCAAAATTTTTATTTAAAAAAAATCAAATAAAAATCAAAATTACGCACTAATTATTTTGATCATTAATTTGAACATTAATAAATGTTCAAGTATAAATAAATAAAAAAAAACAAGTATTGCCCGAAATGCTTCTACTGATGGCGCGAGGTTTGAATAGAAATGCTCAAAAATAATTTTTTATCCGCAAATATATATTCATGAATTGCAAAGTTAAAATATTTATTTCAAGTATATAATAAAGCTTTACAATTTTAGCTATTTATATCAAATTTTCTTATTGTTTTAAAAAAGTTTTTTTAGAAATTAAAAAAAGTTTTTTTTGAAATTTTGAAGTAACTTGCCTTACCATGGTTACCATTGCAATTTCAAATGTTCCAAAATATAAACTAAATTGAAAATTTTTCAAATATTTTAATTTCAAATTTCTTAAAAATCTATATTCGTCAAAGTTTTTAAAAAATGCTAAAACTTTTTTTAAAAAAAAAAAATTCCAGCAATTTTTCTTAAGCATGATGCCATGCACCATTGTTTTAGCAATAGATATAATGGCCTTATAAAACATACTGAAATATTACGGCTTTAAATTTGAAAAAAAAAAAGATTTTTGACGTTTAATAAAATTTCACCTTTCATCGACGTTTTCTCAAAAACTGCTGAATCGATTTAAAAAGTTCAAAAACCATTCGATGTAACTCGATAAGGACTATCGTTTCTCAGTTTTGTGCGATGATCGGCCGAGCCGATTTTTTGTAATATTGTAAACCAAAAAATAAAAAAGATCGCCCACGTTTTAGCCAAAAAAATCTGAATCTAAACGATTTACAAAATTCAAAAACTACTCGAAAGATGAAGTCGCGTAGTAAAGATGATGATGCTGATTAGTTTTGGACAAAGATCGGCCGAACCGTTTCGTAATAATTAACTGTTGAAAAAAAATGTTTTGATTAAACTTTTTATGTAGATAGATATCAGGTATATCAGATATATCTTAAAAAAACATTCTATAATATTACGGCCCTACGATAAGTCGTTTAATTTAAAAAATTCATCAAAGTTTAAAAAAAAATGTGTGATGTGAAAGTCAAAATTTAAATTTCACAAATTTAAGAGCCATCGAAATAAATTACATAGGAAAGAGCCGCAATTAGATTTGTGAAAAAAACGACCAAGCCATAGATAAATAAGCATAAAGGGCCAGCCAAGCCATTAGAAATGGCTTCGGAATTAACAAAAAAAGTAAGCAGCCCACACAACTTCGCGAGTAGTGTAAAAAACTTACGATTAATTTCAAGGTCTAGATAAGGAAATGTATAATGACTCACATGATATATGTAATAGTGCCAGTATTTTCTTAGCAGATGCTTAATATTTCACAAAATAATATATTAAGTTTCTTAAAAAAAAATATGTTTCGACGTTTTACGTGAAATTTAACATGGCAATAAAATTCATGCACTAAAAATAGTCCTACGAAAATTGATTAAATCATATGAATTAATCAAAATTTGGAATATTAACCCCTTCGACTCGAATGCCACCGCTCCGGCGGCAAAATTCATATAAATCTCGGAATTCGCGAGTGGAAAGTGTTAAAATACAATTTTAGAACACACAAACACGTGTTTGTGTACTATAATTAATATAATGACAGATAATTAAAATGTGTTTGAGAGAAATCAATTAGAAATCGTAATGTTTAGATTTAATTTAAATCGGAAACTTTTCTAAATAAATAGTTGAAAATTCAATCTAAGTAAATATCTAAATCTCAATTTCGCTTGATTAAGTCTATTATTATATTATGTAATGTACAAATTGTTATTAAAAAAATGACTTCAATAAATAAACTATTTAAAAAACAAATACATTTTATTTCAATAAATATATCTATATAATTATAGAAGTACAAAACGCA